TGAGTCACTGTGTTGTCGGACATACTGCACATTGTCGTCAGCATAAATTCATACACTGATAATGTATTTGAGGTGTACCGTGCTTATTGAAAGACTGTTTTTATGCAGAGTTTTCTCTTTTTTTTTGAGCTGCAGTTCATGTTATCTGTATGATAATAACCAGGAAGTGTGAAGTCGCGGTGTTGTCGGTGTTAGCCGCGTCTTTATCCGTGTCATCAGCGCGTAAACCTTGAGTTTATCAGGCTGTAAATGAACATTTCAACAGTAGATGTCTTTACAGCCTCACTGACATTTTCAAATCAAGCAGATAAACTGTCATCACTGACTTCTTTAAAGCTTAAAAAATAAATAAATAAAAAACAGGCCCCGCCCCCCTCCGTCAAAAAGAGAGTTCAGGCCTCGGTTGCTGTGACGGCGTTTAGTCAGCAGCGTCCGGGCTAAACACCGCCGGAGGACTCCTCACAGGTAGACAATTAATCTTAATTAAAGCTGAGTGTGACAAACTGCACACACACACACACACACACACACACACACCTCCCCTTTGTTCTGGCTTCAGTCTGGATAAAGACAGCGAAGTGTCCTGCTGAAATAAAAGAATAAATTAAATCACAGAGATAATGAAGCTCTGAAACACATCAAAAATGTTTCATTAGTTTATCGAATAAATGCCAACCAACAAATATGTTTTCACATAAAATTAGATTTAAAAAAAAGAATACAATAGAGCAGCGGGGATGAATTAAAACTTCACAAAATAAACTAATGAAATGAAATCCCAGTCTGAACTCCTGCAGTAGAAATTACATGTTTAAACACACACGTGTATCTGGAGGGAGCATGAAAAGGAAACAACAACAGGGTCTAAAAATGATGTTAAATCAGCCAAAACAGATCAACATTAAATAAACACAATCAAATCAAACACTGTCAATAAAGAGCGCTTTTCAATCTGCTGCCTGACCCTCATGAAAGTCACGATCACGAGTCTTTACGAGTGGATAAAGGTCAGCTATCATATGTTGGTCAGGGCGTTTTTCTTCTATAGAGGATGGGTTTGACGTCACAGACCATCTCTGTGCAGTTTGCTCCAGTTTTTCCATTTTACTGTGACTCAGATACGTCACCCTCTCTTCCTGAAAGCACCAAATGATGAAGTGATGGGAGAGGAAAAGTCCTCAACATTTTATCTCATCCTTCATTAAACTTCGCTCATCTTCATATTTCCTTCATTTACTGGAGTAGATTAAATGTCACACTTGTGCTTTCCAACCCGAAGTGAACAGATTCCTGCGTCTGTCGCTGAAGATAAACTCAAACCAAACTTGAAGCAGGAGTTTCCTCCTGTCATTCATCCCGCAGTGAGCCGTGCAGCTCTGCAGCCCTGCTGACTGTCTGCTGACTGCTCGCTAAAGAAAACAAAGGACAAAAAAGCAATTAAGTCCAGTAATAAAAGCTCAAGTACCATAACATGCTACATTAAATATCCACTGAGCCCCATAAATTAACAGTAAGCAGCTTCTTGAGCAGTTTGTCTCATTGAGGTTGTTTACTGGAGGAAAAACTCGGCCCTCTTTGCAGCGCTCTGGATTTAAACGGTGAATGGTATGGACCCATTGAGGCCAAAAACTAAGTAAACATGAAAAAAATAAGAAGAGGGAACAAATTGCCTTTTTTTCAGTCCCTCTTATGTTTTATGGTCCTCCAACTGTTATAAAGTGTTGTGAAACACGCTTTAAAGTTCACACTTACATTTAAAACCACAACCAAGTGAAGGAGTAAAAAGCTTAAATTAATCCACTCATGAAGAAATAACAATTAAATGTATTTTATGTGGCTCAAAAACAGCTATCACATTCCTTCTGTCACTCCCACCAAACCCCATTTAAAAAAACTGTAATTTTACCCCTAAAACTCAGGAGTTGCTTGTCTACCTTAGTCTTGATTTGCTGCTTGGTTAATTTCACAAATAATGTCAAGAAACCAAACTTGACATTTTGAAAAGTAAAGTCAAATAATCAACCAACTAGTCAATGCAAACGTGGACCACCAACTCCCAGGTTTTGAGTGATAAAATCGCTGTTTTTGTCTGTGGAGTTTGGTAGAATTAAACAAGGTGTACTGTGGCGGGTGTTTGTTATAAATGTTAGTGTTTGTTTTGGGGTCCCAGTGGAGGAGATGAAGAGTTTGAGCTTGTCACTATGGTTACTTACTCCTCCTCTTGGGAGTGATGGAGGCACCAGACTGTGGAGCGTTTCAATCAGGTTTATCGTCATTGTCAGAGGAGGTTTTTATGACAAAAACACACACATGCGTTTACACATGCAAGTCTGTGTCATGACCATCACTTTAAACCGGCTCCTTTTTTCTGTCTGTTCGGTGGGTGGGAGGAATAATGCGCTCCAGCTGTTGTCATTTAAAAACCCACAGTTATCAATATTAGGGTCTAACAAAGCCATGGGTTCAGACACTTTTGGATTTTTCATGTCGATTTTCCACCAGAGCGGCACGGGTGTGAGTTAAGAGCAGGTTAAATTGTGAACCAGATCCAAACTAGCCCTGGGTATGTTGTTTTTCTGTCCGCGGACTCCTGTGACGCAGCATTTTAAACTTAATCTGCAGAATTATTCCTGTAATGTCGTTCTGAGACTGATGTCTGACAGTTTTTAATCCGCTGCTGGATCCCGTACATTTGAACACAGATATTCTGTGTCTGCGCGGAGCCAAAGCTCATGTTCCTGCTGCACAAACAGCCTGAGCAGTGTTTGATTTCATAAATAATTTGACCCTTCAGGGACTTGTGTCATTGTTGTTGTTGGACTGAGGACTTTGTCGGTTACTCTTCATCCTGTGTAAAGCCGACCTGACACACAACAGGTGCCTGCCTGACAGTCTGCGCTCAGGGCAGCAGTCAAACCTCCTACATCTATTCAGACCCCTCCTAATTAGAAAAACATTATACCTCTAATAAAGATGGAGACAAAGGAGAGGAAACATTAGAGGGATTAGGAAGGGAGGAAGGAAGAATTCATAAGGAAGCAAAAGAGAGGCGGGTGTAGAAAAAGACAAGATAAGGAGTGAAAAAGGAGAGAGAGGGAAAAGAGATAAAAGATGGAAGGAGGAGAGGAGTCTAGGGAGACTCCTCCACCCTCTGCATCCTCTCAGTTTCCCTCCTCGGGCGTTAACGAGCTTAACGAGCCGCTCCGCCCGGCTTCAAACAGTGAGGGGAGGGGGACTCATTAATTCTGCAGATGTGTCTAATCGGCTTCCAACTCCACCTGTTCACATGAATAAACACCAACAAGAGGCGGGAGGGACTCACATCAACCTTTGATTAAGTCGTTAGCCAATCATAGAGCTGTGGGCGAAGCCTTTCTGAAACCATTGATCGGTACATTATATTTGTTTTATTTACTGCTGTGACTGTCTCTTGAAATCCATCTGAAAAAGTGAAATTGTCTCACTTTCAGGCTCTAAATGAGGGGAAGACACAGAGATGGTTCAGAATAAAGTTAAAGATTAAAGATTTTAAACGGCTCAATTCGACTGAAACTGGTCTAAACCATGACTGTTATTACGCTGTCTACATGACGATTCAGCAATTAGGTAACTTCATCGCTTTGTATTTGTGCATGTAAACACACTTATTCTTTTAGCATCTTTACTAGGGCCCGAGCGATTTATTGGCTAGCCGATAACATCTGCCAATTTTAGTCCATTTGAGACTAATCTGTAATCGGCCAAAACTCGCTGAATTTCGCCGATATTTTCAGAAATAAAATGTGGAGAATAAGATTCAGTTTCGTTTCGAAAATGTTCCGCCTTTGGAAAAGTTCCCCGCCTTATCCTGTAGATGGCGCTACAGCGACCTCATGCCAATCTTCATCCACTAACTCCCTCACAGCACAGCAGAGTGACGGATCTGAAGCAGGCAGCTCAGGGTTAGTTGAGGTAGTTGAAAATGCTTTTCTGGTCCGAATGTGATCGGTCGGTCTTCCTGTCGGCGTGAAGAGCAGTAGCCTACAGTTATTCTACAGTATATCTACAGTTTATAGTATACTGTAGATATCTACAGTATATATATATATATTTGTGATAACTTTGATAACCCACCCCCCTGATAATCAGTGTCGGCATCTGCCCCCAAAAGTCCATATCGGTCAGGACCTAGTAAACACTCTTATTCTTTTAGCATTTTTAGCTACATGTACCAGGTAGAACTGGAAAAGTATTCCAGGTTATGGGGATTGTGTTTTATCATTTCTGAACTAAAGACTATAACCATATTTTAGGGGGACTCATGGTTAACTTTTAGAGAAAAAAAACACTAAAATTACAGAGTCATGAATGTGTCCAAAGTGCTCTGAGTCATATCTCAAAACTTTTCAGATTTGAGGGTTTATCAAGAGTTCAGAGAGTTCAAGACATCAACTATGAGGAAAAGAGTTTAAGTTGTTCAACATGTTAAATCTTCACATAAGTTGGCAGTCCATTTCTGCATTTCACATTAAAAGCCCAATAAAAAAAAAACCTGCACAAAATGCCTTCCTTTCAACCCATGAATTAAGCCCTGATCCAAAGCCTCACTGCGACGATAACTTAATGAAGAATTCATCTGGATTTAATGAACAAATTAAGGACATTTAGTGTTGAAAATAACATATTTTGGTTCATTCGGGGGGCACAGGAGCGACGAAGCGAGTCCTGTCAGAATAAGAGCGCGGATGAGGAAGATGGAAAAAAGCAGAAAAGAGAGGAAACAGTGAGAGTTGAGAGTGTGAACTCAGTTTGTCTCTGAGCTCCAAAACAGCAGCCAGCATGGTGCCAATTAGCACGGAGCACGCTAACATACGCCCTCCTGTAGTTTCTGATTAAAGTGCATATTGATGGTATAAATTATCTCCCACTACAATAGATAGCCGAGCATCTATATGTAAATGTTTAATTAACCCGTGGCTGAATCGCCGCACCGGTCCAGTGTGGAGGTTATTAATCTGATGATGGCGGCCATAACGCCAGAACAACACCGCCAAAATGAGCCGCCTGGACACGGTGGCAGATCCATCAGAGACGCTAGCTCGTTTCCTAAAGTGCTGTTTGTTCTCAGTGATGAAGTCAGCACCACATCCCTCTTTAAAGGGGACGCAAATCTGCCTAATGGTTGTTCTGGCTGAGTCCCACCCACAGGACCTAAACAAGATCGACTGTGCGTGAGCGTGTCCTGAGAAAACGCCACACTTTTAGGAATCAGCACTCAGAAACTCACAGACACATCTGTCCTACACACTTTGTTAGTATTAATAAACGCTTCCTGACGGTAGACAGGGTGGGAAACGGTGAAGCTTTAACATGAAACAGGTTTAACACAACAAGAAGGAAGAAAAAGTACCAACTATCTTCTCCCTCCGTGGATTTGATCTCAACTTGTGTTCTGCTGAAGATCCACAAAATCTCAGGAGACAAATATACTCATAAACTAACATCCCTTAGATAATTGAATAAATCAAGCAATTCCAGACCCAATCATGAAGATAGGTTTGTCCAGGCTAGAGGAGGATAACTGCTGTATGATAAACCCCGACACCCAAATTGTATCGCATGCGGAACAGCAGCGAAAAGGCTGTTGGCGCCGATCACTGCTGATCGTTTCCACTCAAGTTAATATGTCAAATTCCACTGGCTTTTTTCCGGCCCCCTGCGGTTCCGCTGGCTTCGTAGCCAATCGCTAGGGTTGTATTTTTTCCAGACGCTGCAGCATGCCGCATAAATTCAGCAAAGATTAGGCCATGCTGGAAAAGAAGTCGGGCACAGACACAAAATAAAACATCCGGCTACTTTTCAAAATAAAACACTATTTGTTTCAGGCAGATCGTATTTCACACCATGCAAACATGTAAAACGGCATTGATGAAAATAAATATTGCTCTTACCCATGGTTGATTCCCAATCTCCACAAAAGTGTCTGATCTCCTGGTCTGGACAGAGTGGATTTCCTCCTCTGGAAGGACACAATCTACTGCTTATACGGTTAGGTATCTGTCTTTATAGAGACAACTCTTTATCGCACGGTTGCATATGAATTCACAGGTTCTTGTGAGTCCTCGCAACTCCCACTGTCCAAAATCTGCCACAAAATTTGCCTTACAAACGCATCCAGTAGGAACTGGCGGATGGCGGAAATCAGCGCCATTCTGCATGCGGTGGAATTTTGGGGCAATACTTTGATTGGCCCTCTATTTTTGTTGAAAATCATCACTGAGGTCGAGAATGCCATGCAATGGTCAGGTGACGATGAGAGTGCCCTCTGCTGGATCAATAGGAAAAGAACAGGTTTAAAAGCATTCAGTATGGTCCACAATGTGAAGTTTCTGTGCAGCTGTGGAGTTTACAGCCCTCTGCTAGCCTGGGATGATCTTTTCTGGCCTTTCTGCAAGTGGGGGGTTTAAGAAAAGCCACATTCTCTGCATTCTGATGAATAATTGTGAATCACAAACTAATGACAATAACAGCAGCTTAGATATTTAATCTATGCACCTATCTATCTGTTTATCTATCCGTCTATGGAGGTTGTTGTTGTTGTTGGAGCCTCGTAAACCCTCCTGAAATTGAACATGCCTCCCTTTAAAAACATCTGTCTGTCTGCAGCTTTCAATATTTGCCATTTTGTCGTCTTTACAAGGCAAATACCCCGTTGACACTTTACTCACAGAAGAAGCTGCATGAATATTTAATGTGCTGTAATAGAAAGACTCTGAGTGCTGGTGTATCAGTGGAGTCGTGTTGTTTACAGCCCGAGGAAAACAAAAAAACAACAGGGAGTATTAAAGCTAACCTCTGAGCCGTCAGGCGACGCTGCGGCTCTTCAGTGAGTTCATTACAAGAAGACAAAGTGAGAAACAACAGAGCAAATAAACACAACAACAGCGCGGCTCTCTGTGACAGAACGGGCGGCTTCTGTGTTCGACAGCAGCAGGTTAAAAGGTGCTCCGAGGAAACGGTGCTGCAGGTGAAACAGGTGCGTTTCATCAGACCAGGAACTGTTTACCTGAAGGAGATAAACAACAGCTTTATACTGTATTTTTTCTGTTTAGGGAGTCTAAAATTAGTTCTTCAAACCTCTGAAGTAAACAGGGAATGACACAGGAGTGTAATTGTAGGAGTGTTTTTGAGTTCGGGTGGTTTATGTTTGCAAATATATATATTTTTAAACTCACGATTCCAGTTTGCAGAGTTACTAAGATAGTTTACCACCACCAGGGTGTGACTGTGTGAGCGACTGAATGATGTATCCAATGTAAACCACTTTGAGGGTCTCTGTTAAAGGGCTATATGAAATCTGATGCATTATTATTATTGTTTTGTCATTGTCGGCAGGTGTTACACATATCTGAATGTTTCTGTTGTTTTTATCATCGACTTGTTGCCTAAAAAGTCTCCATTTTGGCTTTCAGAGAACCGCCATGACCTGCAGGAAAGATAAAAGGTCATGTAGTTCAGTCTTTGACCATATGGTGGCAGCGTGCAGTGAAAGGTAAGAAATTCAGAGTGTAAAAGAAGTCCCAGCCTGGAGTAACTTCTTGTGATGCTCCATGATTCCTGAGGAAACACGTGGCCTGATGGTTGTTTGAAGATTTTCTGAGCTGAGATTACCGACGATTATCACCTGAGTGGAAGGACTTTGGCCCAATCCCATTTCTCATTTTTACTCTTTATCTTTCGTTTCTGAGGTTATCACTTGGCCCTGGGTCATAGAAAGAGTGTGTGTCATCTGCACAGTGATGAAAGCCGACGCCATGCCTCCAGATGACATGTAACGGTTAATACCTGTGGGACCTAAAATTGAACCGAGGGGGACGCGCAATTGACGTGGCAGCAGTTAAATTAGCTAAGAGAAGCCACGGTAAGATACGACCTGGTTGAGCCAAAAAGAGTCAGAGTGAAGGTCCTAACATACCGGGAGCGTTTTTTTTTTTTCGTGTGAAATATCAGCGTATGAATCAGTAATTTAAACGCTCCTTTGTTGGTCTTTATGAGCTGCAGTTTCAGGTTTATCTGCTGCCTCTGAAGGAAAACTTTGATCTAAAACGTCTGCAGAAATCTGAGGGCCTTAGATCATGTATTTATCTTCTTCCTGTCCTGTTTTATTTTTTTTTAAAACGGTTTTAAAAAGTCATTAAATGTTTCCTCCAAAAAGTCTGCACAGACTCAGGGTTGAGCGTACAAAGACGAGGACTCTGTGATGTCTGTTTCCTGTGTGTTGATGTGGCGTTGAGGACTGACAGACTGAAGGATGTTTAAAACGCTGCAGAGCCTCGCGCCTGTCAGAGGAGTCGGGTCTGATTTCTCTCATTATCGCCCCGTCTGTCTGTCAGTCTGCAGAGACAGACAGATCACAGACAGACGTGTGGAAAGATCCTCTTTCCTGTTCCTCCTCTGCCTCTGTCAGAGCCGTACAGGAGGGGAAACCATCGCTGTCGACCCTCCCTCTCTGCAGGAAAGTGACAGCCCATCTAATTGGGATTAATCAACTGGCAGCTCCAGTTGAGTGGCGGCGTCGCGATCTGAAGAGAAATGGCATTGACCCACAGAGAGAGGTGTATATCGCCCCGGGGCCGGCGCTTGTACCGATTCATCTTCTTCAGCATAACATTATTATTCCCAACTCCACCACAGAAGAAGAAGAAGGAGCCTCTTTAGGATTCCTGGGTCAGGAGCAAAAAGCCAGAGAGGGAGAAAAGAAACCAAACTAATCAAAAAAGAAAGAAAAGAGCAGCACTTGACAGTTTTCTCCCACCGAACACGACAAAAAAAAAAGAGAGAGAATGAAAGGCTCGCTCGCAAGAAGCAGCAGCGGCGCTACATTATTCTTTTTTATTCTTTCTCTCGGAGCCATCGCTTTGAATTACAGAGGGAATCTTTTTGCTGAGAGTCGGGCGATGAGGAGGAAAAAATCAAAAATTCATCTAAGAGACTTTCAGGAGCGAAGACGCAGAGAGAAAGGAGGCGAGGAGGAGGAGGAGGAGGAGGAGTGTTTTGTGCTGGAACCAACATTTGCAGAAAGTTCCAGCTCCTTAAGCAATTATTAGCGGTGATAGTTTGACATGTTCAAGAGTTGTCAACAACTGGCTTTAAACAAAAGTACAAAGCAGAAATAAACACTGCCCGCGGTGGAATTAACTTGAGGGACGTGCAGGGTCGATGAATTAAACATGTGCTGCTGCTGCTGCTGCTGCTTCTTCTTCTTCTGCTGCGTTACTGCCGAGCACGCCGTTCCTGTTATCAGGAGGCTCCGACGCTCGCTCTGCATCTATATGGAAAGCAGAGCAACACTGTAAAAAACCTGGTTATCTTATTCAGTCAAATCAAATCAGCTCTCACTCATTAGGGCCGAGTTAACGAGGTTCAACTGCCATGTTGAAAACTTGGGTTGCAGGTGGTTTGAACATTATAATCTTGTCTTTTTCAAGATTTCAGCAGATATAGTGTCTGTGTTTGAGATAACACTGGTATCAAAACAAAAACCATGAAGAAATGTTGGAAATCCCCGTCAGATCCAAAGGTGTATATTTGATAGAAAACTCAAATATTGAAATGGTGCGTAAAGGGATATTCCGGGGTAAAATTAATTTAGAGTCAAACACACCGTAACACCGAGTTAGACCCCCCCTCCAGAGATGAATGTTGCCGACCGCTTGTTTCTCTAGTTAAACCAACTTTAGTAACGACTGCAGGATAGCAATATAGAGAGCCACACGCTCAACCAAAACGCCACTCTATAGCCACAAATAATGCTCAGAACAGCACCTAACTTCATCAACAGGACATATAGGGTCACAGCCTCTCAGTCCTCTCATCTGAAAACTGCCAAAATGAACATGAAAGTTCCTCCTTTATTCGTTTTTAGATTGAAGGTTTTCTGCAGAGCCTCTTCTTACTGTTCAGGCTGTCTCATAGTTTTAAATAAAACCCTTTTTTTTTTTTTTTTTACAGTGCAGATGAGTTTAATGTGCTTCTTCTTGCATCATCTCCATCGACATGTAATGAAGCGACCCCCGGCTCCCCAGGGGGTCGTTCATTCACGCTGTTGTTCCCAGTCCTGTTTTTTATTCTGACTCCATTTACTGAAATATATTCATGCTCTCTCTGCCGCCTAGCTGCTAATTAGCAAAGTGCTTAAGACATAAAAAGATTCGAGTTTCATCTCTTTAATCTCTTATTCCCTGTAGTTCTTGGAAATGAAAACATGAAAACACTCTTGCAGCTGGAAACGTCCAAAAGTCTCCAGTTGTAGTTTGTGCAGGAGAAAGAAAATTTCAGAGTTTACGAAAGTAAATTTTTAGATTTAGATGAAAGGATGTGATCACTCAGTACGTTTACGTGACCCTCGAGAAAACCGAATTATCGCCTTACTCTAATTCAGACCGGACAACTGACGTGCATGTGAACACCTGAGCCCGACTATAATCAGAGTTTGAGAACTCCGATTAAGACACCCAGATAATGCGGTTGGAATTTGATTTTCTCCACCATGTAACCAGCAAAGTCAGAGTATGATTGGAAAATGCACGTGTGCATGCGACACGTCTCTTTAACCCTGGAACAAAAACACCAGAGAAGATTTAAGGAACTTTCGACTCAGAAGCAACTGCAACATGGCTGAAGCACGAAAGAACGTCCACTTTTGGAGCGAAGAGGAGAGCGCCGTCATGCTTTTCGTCCTGAAATAAATGGACATTTTAAAGTTTATGGACGGTCGCAAAACAAGGAACGGAGACATCTTTAAAAAAGGCCCGGAAACGTTTACGTCAATAATTCAGTTTTCTTAGCTGCATGTACGTGGACAAGGAGAGATGTCCAATTCGGCAGAAAAAAAAAACGAATTATGAGCTTAGTCCGATTAAGCTGTGCATGTAAACGCACTGAGTGTCAACCTGTTGAAACAAAACGGAGGGGGGAAAAATAACTTTTCTGATATAATCATGTACCAGTGTTTTGTAGACATGTCGGTGCAGCTGTATGTTTGTTGTAATGATGCTCAAACTGTAAATACCTTGTTTTCAACTATGTTTCCATGTTTATCTCCATCTATAAAACCAGCACTAGCTGCAGAGTCCAGCCTGTCTAAATTTTCTTCAAACTTTATCCTGATCAGTAGGCTGTCAATCCTCCTCCTGCCAGTGCCAGACTCACCTTTTTACCGAGAAAGAGTAAAAGTTTAAAAAGCAGCAGGGAAAAGTTTTTCTGCAGCTTTTGTCAGTTTTGATTCTATGTGCAAACATGACTTTAATTTTTATTTTGCAACAGAAACAGACGGACTTTTATTTCACCAGGAGATGACTCTTTCACCATCAGACTGTATGTGAGTTTCTGAGGTTTTCAGCTGTGTTCAGAGATACGATCGCTGTGATGGTGAAAGGGTTAAAAATCAAACACAGTGAGGATTTCTCACATGTTGAAGCGGGATCTCTGTTCAAAGTCACAGATTTATTTTACACTGAACTCACACAGATCCTCCTTTCCTGAAGCTCCTTCTGTCGACGTCTCTATTATCGAAAACATGGCAGCAGCTCCTTCATCAGGTGAGCAGCACAGTGAAGGTCTGACACACACACACACACACAGAGTCTGAGGTGGAGTGTGTGTTTCCTCTGATCAGCACTGCTTTAATCCCAACAGGTCGTCTCTAACAGCGCTCGGAGGAGGGCGGGGTCAATTCAGGTGACGCAGCCACCGAGCGGAACAATTCAAGATTTCAGCCTGGGCGGCGAACAGGAATATTATTAACAGAAAGTCATCGAGCAGGCGGTGTTTTCCTCTCCTCACTGCCGCCGTGCTCTGGATTAATCCCACAGAGGAGTTATTATCTCAGCGTGGACCGGGCGTTCACTCTGGATGGGCCCTGACGCTCTCTGCTGGCTGTATCTCACTTTCTGCCTCTCTGCTCGCCAACCTTCGCTCTTCATAATCCATTACGCCGTGATCAAAATGCACACTGTTGATTGATTCAAATGTGTATTAGATCAGGGAAGCAGCAGGTAGATTTAGAGTGATGGACTCTCAGACCTTGTTCACTCAGCAGATGGATGATGGGAGCGTAGGTGGGCCGTACATCGCGGCCCGCCACTCCATCAGCCGTGATTCCGTGAGATAATATTTGAAGTGCGATGGATGTTCACGTCCCCCTTCTATGTTTCCTCTTTTTTTTTTACCCAGGGTGCATCTGTGTGCCAATCAGCTGCTTGTTTTCTTCTGCAGGTGAAGGTGATGGCGAATCTCTGCAGGATGTGACATTAATGAGATTCCTCTCCCTGTGGCTCCAATATCAACTTTATAACTCTGTTGTTTTAGCACATTACAAACAGAGACATGATGAATATAAAGTGACTTTATTTTGAAAACCATCATGTGATAAACTCATACCTACAGGACGAAACAGCACTTTTTCAATCCTGCTTGCATTTGTTTGTACGACCGTAAATCCCTGTTTTGTTTTGTTTTTATTTCATGGCAGGAAAGTCCAAAGACTCAGACTTGAAAAATCACTTTTATGAAGTTCAATTTTGTTGTCAAGGAAACACAAAATCATCAAATAACCCAGTTTTGCTTTAGTGTTGACTGGATTAAGTTTGGACTGATAATGTCCACCTTGAGGAAAACTGGGGTATCAACATGGAAGGATGGCGGCATGACTGCTGTGAAGTGGCGTAGTCATTTTTTGTCATCATCGGTGATAAAGTTGTGAATGTCGAGCCCGTTGAGCCCGGGCCTGAAGCTGCAGGTCAACACCCTCCCCTTTGGTCCTCCATGTCTTTGACTAATTGACTGCTTCAGATTTTGCTAAAAAGTTGTTGAAGAAGTCGACTGGTTGAGGTTGAGTAGACCCAACCCTACAGTCTGAACCACAGACCATATATACTACGGAAAACTTGGCTCCGCCTTCTGTCATGATATGAATTTGAAGCCGAATCACTCTTGGTGTTTCTGTTTCTCCACTTCCTGGAACCACCGCTTGCACAGTAGCGTTGTACGCATTCGGCGGTAAAGTCACTTTGATGACGCTAGGCTTAAACAGCGACTTTCCAGGGTGAGCTATCCTTGTACACCCATAGGCTGTATCAGGTGTCAATCATAGAAAACATGAACCCCCCTAATAACTTTTAAAAATGGAGCGGGATTTATGACCTATACTGCAGTCCGTCACCAGAGGGTGCTGTTCTGGGACGGCGTCCATTCCATATACAGTCTGTGGTCTGAACCTTAAAGTTATAATAAAAACAACAGAAGAAAACAGCGGCACTCGGGCCGAGCAGAAACAGTGCCCACTCAAACTGCCAGTCCTCCCTTAGATAAAAGATGAAGGTTGATACTTTAACCACAGGGGGCGCCACCGTCAACACAAAATGAAAGTTCCTTTCAGAAGCTTTAAAAAGTAGACACCTTTTTTCTTTTCAATAACATAAAATTTAGCAACTTAAAATATTTCAACCAGTTACAGGGTAGCAAAGTAGTTAATCAGTCTTCTCTTATTTACCTCATGAAATTTTAAGTGCTAAATATGCCAAAAACGGTTGAAGCTATCGTGGCAACATCGATGTCGGACCTCATTCCAGTCTCCTCCTTCAGGGCTCTCCATCAAGGAAAAGCGACGCCGATGTAAATCAGTGTTGGTCCTCTTCGTTTGTCACTCTCTTTCTTCACCTACAGACCTTCTGCCGAACAGGAAGGCCTTTTCTTTTTCGTAGGATCCACCTCTGAACCTCTGAGTCCTTTCCTGAGCATCGGTGTGGGAATGTTGCTACCGACACCAAATGCAAAAAGAACAAATACTGAACATAGACACGTAGAAGTGAGGCACTAAAGCTTTAACTGTCACCAACTTTAGCGGAAACACTGTAAGAAGACAAGCACGAGTTTCTTAGGAGCTTCAGTTTTGAAATAGATCAATATTATACTTCAATGAAAGCAAAACTCTCTGAATATTCATATTATACCCAACAAGAAAAAAATGGTAAACTAGACATTTTAGACCCTGAAACTCGACCAAACACTCCTGGTAAAGTCTGAGAGGCACAGGCAGCATCTCCGCCTCTCGGAGCAGATTTTTCCATCGATCAGCAGAGCTAATTCAGCCCCGGTCCAAACCAGCGCCGCCTGAAAAACAGCCATAATTTTGTACGTCCTTATGTATTTATCAAGATGAATAATCAAAATGATAAAGTCCCCCCCACCCAGAAGCCAGGAGCGGAGGATCCTTCACCGCCGATCGCTCCGCCACATCAATATTCAGACGATCAGCGGCCCATGAGTAAACAGAAAGAAGCGCTGGCCTCGGCATATTTAAAGCTCAGCCGTTTTAGCACGCTGGCTATTAACTGATCCCGCCGTTATTTATTTCCTTTCCTTGTTATTAACGCCGGACGTGATATTATTCTAATTATATCAGGCCCAATCAGCAGTATTGCCTGTCTCTGGCTCATTTCCATTAGCTTTGTCTTTCACACTGTGATACTAATTCAATGAGACATCAAACATTTAAATGGAGCTGAGATGCAGAGGTCAGGAGTTTTTTTTCCTTCTTGCCTCCGCACTCCGTTATTGCTTCGCTGTAATTGTGTTTGTCCCCCCGCCGGATGACTAATTGTGCCAAGCTGCCCGTCCCATCAGACCAACTGCACACTAATATGTTAGTTTGCTCTCTAATGCTAATATGTGTTTTGTTGCGGACGAGGCTCGGCTGGACTCAGTCCACAATCAGGATTTCTGTCGCGCACACAGATTTACAAGGAAAGAAAGGAGATCAGGGAGGTGTGCCGACGGGAAAGAGTGATGAGACCGACAACGAAGGGAGACGAAAGGAGGTAAGCATGGTGGACAGTGTGAGACTTAAAAACTTTGACCTGGAAGTCAAAGAGCATAAATGTGTTGTAGGCAGCTGGGTAGTGAACAAAACCTCAATGGAAGACGGGGTCCGTTTAAAAGCACGGAGTCAGTGCAAAGACCAAAGGATGGATGTGACGTGAGGTGAATGATTTCATCAGGAGCTGGCCTGCAACATTTTAGGAGCGTGGAAAATCATCTTGAGCTCAGGTCTGAACCAAAGCGTCCACAAACACACTGACAAAGACGAGAAATGAGAAATCAACGGGAGAAAACACAATTTCTGCAGTCTTGGCGGTTCTGCTCATGTTCTGGTGTTTGACAAGAAGGGGTCCAGCATGTTGTTCTTTACTTTCGTCTGGGCTTTTCCTGTCGGTGTTGGTTCTTCTTGCTGACCGTGTTGATCAGACGTTTGGTTAGCCTAACCCTTTGTTAAAGTTTGGCGAAAGTATGAGACAGTCGACGTCCTCACTGATTGTGAAGAAGAAGAAAAGTCTGTTGGTCGGATCACCAAAACCTCAAAATGACGCTCAGCTTTGTTTTTCTTAAGTTATTGGATGTGTTTCCTCGATAGTGATGGGACAAAGAGTTGGTGTGTGTGTGTGTGTGTGTGTGTGTTGGGAAGGGGGGGGTCTTGATAATAGTACTTAATTTATCACTTAAAGTGGAGGGTGACCTCTGGGCGTCCCGGTACCTCCATCACCTCCTCAGCTGCTCCCTTTAATTGTCGGAGCGGAGAGAGTAAATGAAAATCAACTGGCCTCATAATGAATGGAGGCTATTACTCTGTTTGAACCACACACACACACACACACACACAGGGTAGCCGCAGGAAGGTCGACTGAGGTCCAAGAAAACAGAGAAAAACCTCAAACCTGTTTACCCTCTTTTCTGAAAGTGCTCATGGGTAAATGATTTTTGATATTCTGCCTAAAATTCAATCATTTTTATAGATTCTTCTCAAGAGCAGATTAATAGTGTAACTGGTGTCCAGTGATTGTTGGTTAATGCAACTGCACTTGTTCTTTGTTTCCTGCAGGTTCCCCCGGTCTACATAAATCTACATATTGTGAGTAAGGAATATCACATAGTGCTTAGTAGGGCCCGACCCATATGGATTTTTTGGGGCCGATGCTGATTATTGATTAGTCAGCCAATGTTTTTTATTTTTTATGAAGTTATAAAAAAATATATGTACTGTAGATATGTACAGTATACTATATGTTGTAGATATACTGTAGGCTACTACTCTTCACGCCGACGGGAAGACCGACTGATCAAACTTGGACCAGAAAAGCGTTTTCAACTTTTATTTCTGAAAATATCTGCAAAAATCAGTCAGTTTTGTCCGAATACGATTAGTCTAAAATTGGCCAATTTAATCGGCTTGCTGATAAATCAGTCGGGACCTAGAGCTAAGTTACCATCAGGCACTGGTAACTTCCTCAGTTGTTTCATCCACAGATCTTTGGTGATTCAGACACTCCATATGATATAAGTTTAGACAACTTTATTGATCCCTGAAGGACGATTCACTTCATAGTAACCCGCCTTGTTATTAAACGATCAAGGAACAGACAAATGTTAGACATTCACTGCAGCACAAATAATACAATAAAAGGAGTAGGATAAGAAGTAAAACAATCCCAAGACCCCAATTTCAACACCCCAAATCCAAGTCTTGAGTCCTTATATTCCGTAAGACTCTACAGTCCTTTTCAGCTTTTATTTAAATCCTTTATAACGCCAAGACTCCAGAAACACCACAGCTACTTTCTTCTCGTGCTCATCCAGTCCCTTTGCTTTTCAGTCACAAACAGATACACACCTTCCTCCACCTGCTCCTCCTTTTGTCTCCTCCTCTTCCTGCTCTCCTTTCTCCACCTGTGGCTGCCTGATTGTAC